TTTTTTTTTTTTTTTTTTTTTTTTTTTTTTTTTTAGCAATCTTCTGGGTAGATGTTGTCATAATACCCATTTCAGGAAAGGAAACAGATTTACAAGGTCATGTAATTATCATTAGGTCAAAGTATCAATAGTTGTGAAGCTCAAAATCTAACCAACTCCTTACTGACTCCAAAGCCTGTGCTTTGTTGCTCATTCAATCTAAAATTCTCTTAATTATACTTATCGTAGTTCATAGTGTAATACTTCTCTTCTTTCAAAGGATTGCTAAGTGTTGCATGATTGTATTTCATCAGTGATTTTCCAAAGGAATCCACTCGGGACTTTAAAGTATTGAAGCATTCCTTGAGGCGATGTCTTTAAAACATCTCTTCCTGACCTCAACCTTTATTCTTCTTCTTTCCTTCACAAGACCTTTCCAGAATTCCAGACTCTCTACAAGGCTTTGGGGATAAGTTAATAATGTCTTTATCAGGGACATACTGCCGTAACCTGGACAAATAATTAAAAATTTAACATATTTCTCTTCAAGACAGATAAGATGATATTTTTACTTTGGATTCTGTTGGGCTTTTATTCAGCATTTTTTATGAGTTGATCTATCTCTGGTATAACTGTCTTTTGGGCGTGCAGTTTTTCTACTACCCTAACATTACTGTATATATTTTGTGAACTCCACTTCTTACAACTGATAAATGTTAGAGCTTCCCAGTGCTGTTTTTAGTCTTCTTTAGCTCTGGTCTTTCCTCAGATGAACTTGTCCAGCTCTATGGCAATAAAAAACACCTACATTTTTCCAATTAACCAGTATCTATCTCTGTTCCAGACTGTTGCCCAAAATACAAGGATCATGTATCTGAGTGACTACTAGAAACATCTTTTCTTATATGTCTCATAGTTATTTTCACCTTTCTGTGTCCAAAACTAAATTATGATGACCCCAAACATTTTCCCAAATCTTTTCCATCACACTAAGTGGAAGTGTCAGCAACGTCCAAATATTTGCTAAACCTCAAATTTCAAGAGTCACAGTTAGCTTGAGTCTTCTCACTCTCCACATTAATCCATAGTCAAGTCCATTGCTTCTACCTAAGTCTGACCACTTTTCACCTCCACCTGTCTTCCTTTCCTTGTCACTGAGAGACAATATCTGACATGTGCAATTTAAAGAGAAGAGGTTAATTTTGGTTCACAGCTCAGAAGTTTGGATCCATCTTTAGGGAGGTGTAAACAAAAAAGGTATTGGGAGAAGGGTCAGGGTAGAGGAAATCTTCTCATGTCATGGTGTCCAGGAAACAGAAAAGGGAGGAGTGGGGCGGGATGGGATACACCCTTCCAGATCATACCCCCAGTGATCCACTTTCAGCCAGGCCCCACCTACGAATAATAAGTCAGCTATAACACCACTTGGTTTAATCACCTTCCACCAGCCCTACATCTGAGCAGATGAAGCTCTTCGGGGACATCTAGATACAAACCATAATACCACCATAAAACAAATCACAGCTCTACTCAGTTTTTACTATAGAAATTTGTTCTAACTGGGCCTCCTTACTTCCATTCTTGCTCACTGACCACCAATTCTGTATGCAGCAGCAAGAATTACATTTTAAATTAATAAATGAGATCTTCCAACCTTTTCAGAATCTACCAAAGCCTCTTTCCATGACAAATAACATAAAATTCAAACTACTCACCTGGTCTACAAGACTATATACAATTTCTACCAGTATATCTTTCTGCATTTTATCTTTTTTTTTTTCTTTTTGTTCTTGACTGACCTTCTTGTGGTCCTCCAACAGGTCAGGGTTGTTTTTGCCACATATAATTTTGCTTGCTATTTTCCCTCAATGAATTTTCATGCCCTTCTCCATACAACTTAGCTTTCCCAGAGTTAAAGATCTGCTTAATGAGACATTCTTAAATAGGTTGCCCTTCACTTCTCAGTCTATCCTAGCTCTTTCTTATAAACAAGGGACAAATAAAGTACAAACAGCTTGTGCTTCCCACAAAGATACAAACTTCACAAGGATGGATGGAGCTCTTCTCAGCACCTAGTAAGTGGTCACAACTTTTTGATTGTTTGAATGAATCGTTCATCATTTTTTCTTTTGAATGTGCCTCCAAATTCTAAAATTCTGTAATTCTGAATTGTGCAAATCTTCATTTTTCATTTTATATATCAACCTCAGTAGTTTTTACTGGAGTAGATGTCCACCAAAAAAAAATCCAGAGAAGTCAATTTACCTCTTTTAAGGCATCTATTTAAGTAACATTCATGGTTAATGCATTTTTTAATCTTTCATCTCACATGAAAGGTGTCATGTGATTACATAGCTTCATAAATCTAAAAGTTTCAAGTACTTTTCTCAACACAGTTTTCTTTAATTCTGACACGGTACAGAGATGGAAAAGGAGAGAGTTGGGAAAAAGGACTGCTAAGAAGGGGAATAAAACTGTGTAGAGGCCTTGCGACGTGGAAGAAGTTTCTTTTTTATTTCTTCCTAAAAATGAACAAGGAATGCTCTCAGCAACTTTATTGTTTTCTAATGAAGAAAACGAGGTGGAGTTTCCAGTAATTTTTCTGATGCCAAGCTGATAGTAATGACTCCAAAGATTTTAATTTTGTTCATTTCAAATACTGAAACATTTTGTACTATATTACCTTGTGTAACAGAGTTATGATGACTACTGAAATATTTTATCCCTCTAAAATAACACAACTTTATTGTATCGTAAAGTTTTAGCGATGGTCCCATCAATAGTTGATTTCTGCCTTCTTTATGGACTTACTAAATCCAACTGCTATTTGATCCAAACTGGTAAAGTGGAATTTTCATAGATGGGGATAGTCTAATATTCCAAAAAAGGCATATAAAACAAGACTCACAGAGGAGAAAAAAAATCTATTACAGTGAGTGAAGATGAGAAAGAATATTTATCCCCAAGTATATGCTTAAGTATGATCTTCAAAGTAGCACCATTTAAATGAGCCCTACAATTACTCTCATAAATGCACTTCTACTAAATGCCTAATAAATACATGGGGGAAGCAGAGACAATTATACCTAAAACATTTTAAAAGTCAATCTTCCTTTGTTTCCTATACTTTCCTTCTTTTTCTTTTTCCTTGCTGTTATTGTTGTTGTTTACGAGGTAGTTCCAAAGTAAATAATTTGCCCTGTTGACAAATTTGTACTTTTATCTTTATAAACCATTGTTAACTTTCTCAAGCTTTAGTCAAAATGATAGGATTCATTGGTGTTACACATCGTGATCTGCAAACTACTTTATGTGTAGTATCAGATTTGTCATCACAAGGGTCTTGAGTTCACAGATACTAGACAAGTTAGGGTGAGGTTTGCAATATCACATATGTAACTTGACTACATCATCTACTTCCTCTGTGATCATGAGACTTGATGTCTTTCTACTTCAATTTCCACATTTGGAAACTAGAAATATAAACAGGTAATGGTTGCTTCATAATTGTTAAAAAATGAGGTAGAGTTGAATTAGTACCTATCACCATATGCCAATTCTGATCAACATTTTATAATATTGTAAAGTGGAAGATATGGTTTCTCCTCATGTAGCATATTTCAATTAGGTACAAAGAAAGCTTTTTTGATTAAAATATTTCATTGGCTCTCCACTTTCTAGTAGAAATTAAGACAAGATGCCTCAGCACAGGAATTAGTAACTCAGGTTGATGTGACATTTTTCTTCTTTATAGGGAGAGGTTGCTCTGAGGAAAACCTGAGTGGCTCACCCTGGCTCTCTTCCCAGCATGGGATTCTGGTACGTGCCTCACCAATGGGTATTAATTTTCGTCACGTCCCAGGGCAGTTTACACACCCAACTGAAGCAAAAAGGTTTACTCCAAAGCACATTAAGAATAATTTGACTGAGTGTTCTTTGTAAAAATCTAATGATGATAGCAATATGAATACATATTATAGCTTAGGATTTGCCTTTATACAGATTTATGTGTTGTACATAACTAGACATCTTCTTTAACACATGAAGTATATAAGATTAAGAGATTCACTTCTTCCTGTAAGTTCACACAAGCTGGTTTAATGTTCATCATAGGGTATCTGAAAAAGGCAGGTTCCTTCACGAGTATTTATTTCTAAGTGTAAACTTTGTTGGTTAACTGAGTAACATAGCAAAGAGAAACCAACGATAATGACCGGAGAATTAAACAGATATGAAGTAGGAACAATTTTCAGGCACATAGTATGTGTTACGTCAATGCTACACTTTAAATTCTGGGTAGATGGAGGCTTAAGGGAAAGGTGAGAAGGGAAAGAAACAAATATGAGAAAAGGAAAAAATGGAAACAAAGTCTTTGTAAATAAGAATGGGTGGAGGGGTTGAAGGCAGGGTGGTGGAATGGGGAAAAATAAGAAAAAAAATTATGTAAAGGTACAAATTCCCAATGATAAATGTCATTATATTGTATACCTAAAAAGTACCAATAAGCTTAATGAATAAAAAAATAATGCCCCTTTCATTTAGATGGAAATTAAATATATATCACTTATAAATTAAGCTTTTGAATTAACTAATATATTTTTATTTTTATTTTAAATAATTCATTGCTGGATGAATGATGTTTACTTAAGACTTTGTTCTTAATGTGACTTTCTCCAAATTAGTATTTAAAGCAGTGTTTGCTCTCATCGCTTGCAAATGATCACTTTAATAGAATTCAAAACAAGCACCCTAAAACCCATTTTGAATTACAGCAATGTGTGATAAAATATCTATATGTGGTACACAGTTAATCAGCCCCTTCAGTGACAGTAACAAAATTGTAATATATCCAGATTGGAAACACACTGCATTTTGAACCTAGTAGAAAAAGTGTGAAATATAATTTTGAATTCCTTTGGCAAGAGTTACACATATGAGATAGATAAAGGCATTTCTGGGTTACCTATCAAAAGCCCTGGAGAAGTTTAGATATGACAGTAAAGAGAATCATTTCAAAGAAGTCTGAAGAAACATATAACATACACCATAGAGCTCCTAATTGGTCGTAGTAAGATTGAGCAGGATGAAAATGAGGGTGCATGTAGCATAATTTCTAGAGTTATTTATTTGGTCCATTACATAGTCCCTGAAGTTGTGTGAGGACACACAGGGTCAAATAACCCGAGTTAGGTGAGATATACCACCTTGAGAAGACATTGACCAAAATAAAATCTAGGTTCAGAGATTTGGAAAGCTACACAGGGGTAGAAGAGGATTCCACAAGAAACATTTTGTCGAGTGACTTGAAAATATTTTCATTTAGTATATTTTCAGCCTGATGACATTTTATGAGACAATTATTTATCACCATCCATTCAAAAATACATATTTAGAAATGATAATATTTTAAGCACCTTACTAGTTTGTGGAAATACAATGTCAAGCAACACATATTTCTTACCCTTCACAGACATTATCCATACAATGATGATGATTGTAACAACCCCAAGTCTGTACATCAGAAGAAGAGGACCCGGTCTTCGGTGCTCAAGGCAGGTTTCCTGAAAGAATAATGTCTATACTGGGATCACAATTATGGGAAACCATCAAGGAGCAGTAGAATGACAGAAAGAGCATTTTAGACAGAAAATGTGCTGTAATTAAAAGACCCTTAAACTAGGGAATATTTGGCATATATATATGGAACTTCCCTGATTACTCTTATTACCAACAATAAAATTCCTATTCTATGCAGCACATGGTACTGGGCACTTTATCATTAGTTATCAGAAAACCAAATAGCATACAGTATTAATTTCATTGCATACGCACACAGATCTTATTTTATTGTTTTTTTTTTAATTGAGTTTATTGGTACATTTAGGGATACAGTACAGTTACATTCATTGTTGGGATCATGTACCTTTACATGGCAAGTCTTGATTCTCATTTTTTTCCCCTTACCTCTGCCCTCCCTTCACCCCCTCCTCCCCTCCCCATCTACAAACACTTTATTTTCATCTTTTCATTCTCTCACATTTTTTTCTTTTCCCTTTTTGTTCTTCCCCTACGTATCACACCTTCCCTACACCTTTAGCTCCTTTCCTCCCATTTCTAAATGTCAATAATCTTATTAGAATCTTATGCATTGTTGCAGAATATTCACACCAGGGAAACTATTTGGTATTTACACATGTGGGACTTATTTATTTCACTTAGGAGTATATCTTCAATATGTATCCACAGATCTTATTTTAAAGATGGGGAACGTTTATCTTATGGAAAGAATGTACATAGATCATTATTGGACACACTCTGATTTGCTGATGGCTTTAGGGTGAGAATAGGGTGTCTGGATGGAGAGCAGATGGGGACAAAATGGTGAGGGTGGGTGTGAGCTGAAGATGGATCATTATTTTTACTATGAATCTTTGCAGTAACTCTATCAAAATTTAACACTGAAAATATGAGGTGTGTTGAAAATGTCTAAATGAAAAAAAGTTAGAGTAAAGACCTAAAGCTTAATCTGCCTCAAAAGAGTTCCCCCTCACTTCAAACACGCTTGGCCCATTGTTCTTAATATTTTCTAGAAGTCCTCTGAAATCCTCTTTAGTGAATGTTTTTTTTGGGGGGGGTTACCTCATTGATTTGATTCAAATGCTTATGGAAATTTCTGCCAAATAAAAACTTCATTCAATAGATCTGTCAATATGAGATCTCTGGCTCTTTCCTCAAAAAAAAAAAAAAAAAAAAAAATGACCATAAAAAAACCTTTTGAATTGATTTCAGACATCAAGGCAACTGTGGTAGCACAAATGAAGAGATCCATGGAAGAGAACTTCCAGAACTGCTTTGGTAAGTGGGAAGAACATTGGGCTAAGTGTATTCAGAATGGCCAGGCTGGGGGTGGGGTGCTTTTAGGTAGATGAGTGGCAATAGGTATTTCACTGTAATAATTTTTAAAATTTAAACATTCACTGTGTTTTCTGGTTACTCCCTGTATATACAGTTGCCTTGACTTACAGTGGCCTGTTCAGTGACTAAGAAATCTTAAACTAAATGTTCATAAAGATACACTTTCTTGTTTTTGATCTTTTATAAGCTAGATAGATTTCAGTCCTAATTTGTAAGGTTGTACTTGAAAAATTTTAATGCAGACTCTTATCTCTGAGCCCCTGGGCATATCTGACAATGACAGAAAAATCTGTACAGTTCATTTATCAAAGGTAAGAGTGCAAGTAGAATTCTGTGTCTTGGAAACCACAACATCAGAAAATGTTGTCTCCATTTGGTGGGTTGTGAAACCACCCACTCTTCTGCTGAGAGGCTCCCTCTTCTCCTCCTGGTGACAAGCTTCACTTGTATCCATGCTACCAGAGACCACTAGATCTCCCTATAGTTTCTGAATCACCAGCAGATATGCTGGGCTTTGGATCAAGGTTTATTGTGAGCAAAGAGGTTGACAATCTGAAAATATCAAGTATTGTGGCAAAGTGTGTTGGCTCATTGTTGGGCTGCCAAAGAACAGTAAAAAAATTATAGACTCTTATCATTCGCTTTTTACTGAAGAAAAGTTAGGCATAAGATGTGACTTCTGAAATTAAATAGCTCATTGTCATTATAATATATTATGCACATAAGATAATATATGAAACATAATAATTTAAATTAAATTTTTATAACTTACAGTTAATATCATTTTTTTGTCAGAGATACAATAGGCACATAGATTTTTTGTAGAATTATTTAAAAAAAAACTACTTCTCCTGTATCTGTACACTTTCTTATCAAGAGAAATGAAGAATAATTTTCTCTATATTCAATAGTCATTTTTCAACAGTATAATATAACATAGCCACTGAAAGAAATACCCTAGACACTGACTGAATTACTTTGGTTGCACTGGAATATCTTGGAATGAATATCATTTAAAGTCAGGAATGCATAGTGTATGGATTCATTTTGTGCATTGATTGGTTATGATACATATTTCTGGAAGTAAAATGAATGGGTGGAAGAAGGGGAAATGTTGGTCACTGGATATAATGAAAGGTAGAACAGATTCAGAAAATTTTGGAAATCTCCCATTCAAGAAGAAAATACAACTTTCCTGAGAAAGCAGTAGCCTCCCACTGTCAGTGGACTTCCCCAAATCTTCACCTCCTGCGTGGCACATACCTGGTTGTACAAGTATGAGCCACCAAGGACTCACACCTGTACCCTTCTCTGAAGGCCCACCCTTGGTTTGTGCAGATGCCATGGAAGCTGGTGGACAGTGACCAATGATGCAAAGGAAAGGACATGCAGCCCTCTTCCCAGTTGGCAGGACGGTCTCAGTGATGTAATGCAAGCTCCAAAACCCCTGTGAGAGCAGGAGGCTAGGCTCACCCTCAAAACTCAACTTTGCCTAGCTGTCCCCTACCTTCTCTTACTCTTCATATCTTTATTGAGAATGAGGATGACTCCTCAAATAACTTGTCTAAAAGTCCTTATTTCATACCCCACTTCTAAAAAACCCAACAAAATAAGTAGTGTCACCAGTTGTCCTTCTGTGAAGTTTGAAATGTTAGTGTTAAGGTTATATTTTCGAGCACTATCAATCAACCTTGACATCGCTACATAGGGGCTCATAGCCATTTGTTACCACTTACTGGTTGATTTCTTCTCTGAATTTTTAATCTTATCTTGTAGATATTTTATCATATGGAATCCCCGTGGTTTGGAGCAGCGTGTTTGTACAATGACAAGCTAAGTCCTGAAGCTGCACATTTTTGCCTGGCAAAGGATGTGAAGATAGAAAATAGAGCACAGCATTTGGAGTCAGGCAGACTCACGCACTAATCCTGGCTTTATTATTTGTTAGCCACATGATCTTGGTCAAATCGCATAAATTTTCTGAGCCTCCATCTAATTTCATTTAAAATAAGAATAATGATGCCAATTACACTTTATTTTATGATGACTAGCATCATGGTAGGAAGACTTGGACTATTTATTGCATTATGAGTTTTGCTCTATGAGTATTTCCATCAATAGAAAATGATTTAAATGCAGATATCAGCAAATTAATAATGGTTACCTGTCACTGCACTTCAAGTCTATCACTTTTCTTAACTAATGTCCCTTTAAATGCATTCCAATCAGACCTACTCGACTTCACCTGTGGTATACACATGAATATCCTAAGTTGAGCCAGACATTCAACTAGTGGAACTGAAAAGACAATGACAGCATAGCAGCCCCCAAATTGTAGAACTTCAAGGCCAAAAGAAGTTGCACCTTTGTAGCTTGCGATGAAATCTGTCATTCAGTCAAGTCTTGTCCCAAGAAGTAAATGCAAAGGTTGAACTAACCCTAAATATTAGAGGATTGCATCTAAAATCCACATCGGACTTCTTTTGTTGAAACACAGGTCTTCAGTGCTGCATGACTACCATCAGCCAGAGCCAGGCAGAGTCTGCCTTCCTCAGGTAGAACCTGTGCTCTCCTGGAGTTCAGAGTTAGGACAGTTATATAATTTTCTGCCACAACAGGATATGTTGAGAATGATGGACTGATACTTGCAATTATATCAGAATAACAGGCATAAGTCAGACCTGGTTTCAGGCAAACTGGGATAAATTCCACCATCATCAGGGTGGAGTCCCTTCCACTCCCAAATAATTCTCACATCAGTGGCCAAACTGTATTGTTCAGCACTTGTAAGTACCATGGGATTCTCCTCTGGAGCATCTGGTCTTTTGATTGAATCTGAGGCTCAGTTAATTAATTTCTTGGGTTCAGCACTCTTAGAAGCAAATTCCTATTAAGCAAAAAAAAAAAAAATCTCTAATAACGTCTGACTAGTATGCCCCCAAATTACACAGTGTTTAAGTAACAATGTTTTTCTCCATAGCTTTCTTTAAATTCAAAGCACATCATAATGTAAAATATACTTAAATATTTTTTTACAGATTTTAACATAAGGAAAACAGTGAGAAAAATGGCACAATTTTTGTAGGATTGGGATGTCAATAATTTTTACAAGTCAACTAGATTTGGATATTGTTTGGATGACACATTTGCCGTGAGTGGCAAAACACCTTTGGTGAGGGGTAATCAGTGGTGGGTCACCAGAGGAAAATGACACACACGCAAGACAGAGCTGGAGATAAGAAAATGGCTTAGGAGAGAAACAATGCCTGTGTATCTGGGATGGACAGCAGGCTTTGCAATCTGTCGCACTGGAGTTTTAGGGACTTACCACAGACAGTGTTTGTTATTGCAGAACGTTTTGTTTCTCAGGAGGAAGAAAGATTAACCAAAAGAAATACGACAGTAAAACATACACAGATGATACAGCAAAATAAAACCCCACACTTTAAACCTCAAATGGCTCAGTGTATTTGCTTAGGGATTAGCGGAGAGGCCCACCATCAAATGTTTCCATCCTAAGAATGTTTATAAAAGAAGATTGAGTAATGATTGCACTGGATTTTCAGCAAAGTTTGTCCTAACGCCCTTCACCACCCCAACTCTTTGCGGCTTCTTAGCCTTTATAATTTCTGTT